ACTGTGAATTAATGGCTCCACCTCTGTGCACCAATGCATGCGTTTCTGACACTGCGGCAAGGAAACAGTGCACACACATTAACAGACGTGCACACACACTGCACATAAACGTACCTGTAAGAGATGAGAGAGGGGAGTGAGGTCGAGGTAAACCTGAAGACTGACCGCTTCCTATCAGGCTTTTTCTGTTGCTCGTTCTGCAGCTGTGAAACCACAAAGGCAAATATGAGGCAGGACAATGGACAAAGAAATTCTCTCATGACTGCAGGAAAAAAAAATCTCAACTCATATGTGAAAAATGACTAAAAAATAAATTAACGCCAAGGCTGGGAAAACACCGAGGGGCTTGGCTAAGAGCTTCATTTTGAAATGTAATACTACTACTGAATTTATAGCAGTGAAATATTTCACAATGAAATCAATCTGAAGTGATGTGGGTTGAATTCTCCCTTCAAGTCATGCAACTGTAGCAGCTGTGTACTCTCATGTGTTGTGTGAAGAAACCTCTCATTACTATAGGGTTAAGAAAAATGCCATCTATCTGCTGACAGTCACGTTTCAACCACTGCTCCAATACTGTACATCAGGAGCTCCCTCTGCCACCACCTTAAAGTAACAGGCGTAGTCTACAATCCTGGAGTCGGCATTAAACTCTGATGCACGCAGCGGCATAAAAGCAGAGACAGAACATCTTGTTCAGTCCCCAGAAAAGGAGGTTCTGTAGGCATTGTTCAGAATTCTTTTATGTTTGTTAGTAATGTTAATATAGGATTGTGACTCATGAGGAGCCACTGTGACTCAAAAATGTCGCCCAGTTTTTAACCTTGTTAGAAAAATGAAATATTCCAAGTAGAAGTAGTTTCAGTGTTCAACAGTACGACTAGTCTAGGGTTTATACTTTCAAATTAGCAGCCGCCAGTGGAGACATAGTGCCCGATGAACACATTCATTTCAAGGTCGGAGACTCAATGACATGCAGTTACATAATCTCCTCAGAGAAATGAACCATTTCCAACTGAACTGTTAAGACGTTATTCAGTAATATTTCCAATTCTGTGCATGACACAAAAAAAAAGCAACAACAAATTCACTCTAGACTTCCAAGTGTTCAAGCTAAGATTGTTTATGAAGAGTAAAACCATTGAGCTATAAGAGAGAATCCTTTACTCTGGTGTAGACCTAGAATAACCCTTCATGCAGAAGAGGATGAGAAAGACAGTCAGTGATGATTTCAACCACATTAACATTGGTATTTAAACGCAGAGTGACAGGAACATATTTGAGTACTTAAAACTCGATAAACGACAGCTGCAAATGATGCAATAATTCAATTGCAACCTATTTAAACTGACGCTATACAACGTCGTGCTGCAGAACAAGGAGACAGGTGGCTCACTTGTATTTCTGTTGAAACAATGGTCTTATAGGCAATTTCTTCTTCTGCAACGTGGTTATGGCTGAGATTACCAACAAATTTGAGCTTCTCCTGTCAGTTAACCACAGTGCACGTTGTTAGTGTGCGTCTGATGTGTGCCAGCTTGCACTGAGAATGATTCCTCTTATAATTCCTCACTGAAATGTTTTCCCCTTGCATTTTTGTTAGCTTCCTAGTGCCGTTCAGATGGATGCATGTTGGTAAACAGCTGTGCGTTACACTTTAATGGAGATGGGTAAACAAACCAGGCTTACGTAACATTAGGCTGAACCAGCCACATCGTCACGACAGTCTTTTCTCTTGTAAAAGTAGACCATGATATTTGAAAACACTTCTAATAAAGTACAATTTTCACGTTTATGTGGCTTGTCCTAGTAGGTTTTCTTTTCCGTTTCTTCTCATTCTGCTATTTGCTAAATAGACCCGACCTTAATAATATACATCCAATATGTATTGGACAGTGGCACCATTAAAGTGGGACCCCCCCACCCCCCCAACCACAGGGGGAAGAATTGAGCAAATTGCGGCACCAAAATGAGGAGGAGGACACAACAAACTACTGGGCTGTGGCTGCCTTCCATAGTAATAAACCAATATATAAAATTAAAAACAAAAACAAAGGCTCCGCTATAAGAGTCTCAGTTGACCGACAGGTCTAACGACTAATGACTCGGCTGTTCGACTATTCGGGGCAAAATCAAACCATCTCAATGAATCACAAGGGAAACCTTGTTCTGACTGAAATCCCCTCGTCCTTGTTTACTAAAGTGGTTTTATGGCTAACCCTGCAACTGGGAGTGTGGATACTTGCCATAAATCTTTTATGATCATGTAAAGGGAGTGAATAATATGCGGTACACACGTGCACAGTTAGAGGATCAGATTTAACAAGATCTATTTATACGTGGATTAGGCCAAGAGAATGCCATGCTGCTGCCCCATCAGCCCTCTTGTTGCTTCACCCCCTCACTACCCAGCCCAGTGTATGTACCATCATAAGCCTGATTAGAGAGCCGACGTCAAAAAAACTGATTCTGGATTACTTTACAAAAACAGTGCGACAGTGCGCGGGGGGGGGGGGAAAGTAAAGCACTGGGCAAAGGCGACGGTGAAAGTAGGCCAGTGTTGTATCTACGTTGTCCTGCAGATGTGCGAGAGCCATATGAGATTTATCAGTCTTGATTATATACAACAGACTTCACCTCATCCAACTACCGTCACACTGCACGTAAAATCTCCACAAATGTGGAAACATCTTTATTTAGCAACTAAAAACAAAAACATAAAGGGGTTTATTAAAGTTAGATACTTTACAGGATTTGATGACAATATTTAACGTTTACATTTATTGCCTAGTCGACACTGACCTACATTACTGCAACTCTTTCAGATCTTACAAAGTAACGTGAATCTGTCAAAGACAACTCTTAGATTTCCCCTTGCTTAGCTATTTCAGGTAAACGGAGACAAAAATAGATAAAACCCTTTGATTTACAGGTCTGAATCCAGATACTTTGACGTCTGATGCCATGATTATTTTTTTTTTACTTGAGCAAGTCCTGCTCCCTCATCAGAGCTGTCAGCCGAGCTGACAAAGCTTTGTGCCACATAAATGTCTGCTCCTCGCTGACAAACCATGTTCAAAGTCAGACATATGACACATGATGCTCTATTAATAGTTTTTAAAAACCTGATTCTGGGGTAAGAAACACTGCAGCTTGTTTTTATAGCCACTGAAAAGCTGTTTTCTTTAAGACACTGTCAGTTTCTACATCTGAAGTTGTACAGTACTACACAGAAGTTTTTCCACTTGGAGGGAACTTGTATTTTCAGATACAGTGCGTGACGTATTTAACTTAACACCTAAAAGCTGCAGAAAAGTTCCTGCAGTTCCTACTATTTTCACAAATGATTAGAGAATGTGTACAGTAGTTTACAGTCTTCTTTTCCACTGTGGCCTTGAACAGCTGTGCCAGCTGCTGTATTTTGAATCAAATCAAACATTGGTCATTTATACCAAAATTGTTTGATCACAACTTAAATACAAGAGCGGGTGAAAAAAAAGCAACATCTGGTCTAGACACCAGTTTTAAATCAAGTCAGTTTACTCATAAACACAGAGGAGAAAGACCTGACTACAGTCTCAGACTATGCTTTTACAGCATGAAGCTTCAGTTTTCTACAACTCAGATAGTGGTTTCCAAATGGAAAAGAATATGCACTGATACATAATGTCCAGAAACAACCAGCATTTCATGCTCAGCTGTTCTTCACTATAAAATAGATCAAAGGAGGGATTAAAAATAAATATCAGTTATAAAGGCTTCACCATAAAAAACACACAACTGGTATAAAGTGGCTTAGCTGTACAAGGGCGTCTACACACTCAATAAGTTTGGTAACATTAGGAATAGCATTTAAAAGTCAAACAAAATAACATTCACAGTGTCACAAAGTGGTGACACCAGCAACCATATTCTCACCATTTACATTTTCCAGCTGTTAATTACAGGAGTTAAAGTACACATCCTGTATAAGCAACATGAAACTGCCTCAACAACAAATATTCAATTACCATTTGACTTACAAAGCAAACAACAGACAATAGGGAAGAAGGGAACACCCAATGTCTTATTCATTAAGCAGCTCAGCACACCTACTGTAAAATACAAGGAAAACATTCCCATTGTCACTGCTCCAGAAACTAGAGGTGTCAAGTTAGTTTGGTAGAAAACCCAGCACGTTACTCTGAGCAGACTGATTTCTCTAGCCAGCTTTAAAGTAGCCCAACTAACACAAAAGAAAACAGTTTCAAAGGTTACCTTTTGGACCGACGCAGACGAGCTCCGCTGAAAAAATGTGGCATGTTCAAGTTGGACAATACTGTCCACACATTCAAATCTGACATTGTGTCCAAGATGGAGATGTGAAGGGGGCTTCTGAAGCCCTTGTGAGGAGAGGTGACGGACTCGGGGTTCAGGAGAGTGCGACCCCCATGGCAGTCCCGAGAAGTGCTCCCATTATAGCTCCCCGTAGGCCCAAACCTCCTCTGTACAGGCACATCTGCAGCCAGCTGTGGCATAAACACACCTGCAGAGAGGACACGTCGTCCTCCTCTGCCCTCTAATACAAAGGTAATCTAGGGAGGATGCTGAAAGGCACACAGAGCGAGTGATCCAGCCTTCACTGAGGCAGGACTATGAAACCTAATACCAGTACTACTCTCACTGCCACTGTGTTGTGTATCCCAAACACTCACCCTGCTCCCTTCGCTCAACATGCATCATATCATGTAACAGGCGCCTACCACTTCACATCCTGTCGGGGGGGTTGTGAGACAGAGAGCTAATGCATCATCAGCACACCCGCTGCTTTCACACGCTGGCACCCCTCCATACGTCCAGTGGGCCAGCGTAATAAGCAGGACCTATTTGAAATTGAAATGCTCTGTTTTTTGCATGGATTTTTTCTGCTGCTGCATAAATTCTTCCCTCAGCTGTTCTCTGCATAGACAGTCCTACCTCATTCATTCGACGGGAGCCTCACCTTAAGCTTATCACCTTTGATCCTCAGGTCTATTCTACAAACAGATAAGCAAATGGCTACAGGGAAACGTGCAGACTGAGCTTTCATTATATCCAAAATATGTTCCAGCAAAATTAAACTTGTTAGGAAGAGTCGCACTCACGCAGGCACAAACACACAAAATCTGGTATTTCATCAGTTCAGTGATGAATTTGACTTGCAAGCCCTGCAGGAATGTGTGAG